CTAAACATCGTAGTGAGTAGAGTCTCTGGACAGGTTTTGAAGGTAGCTTGTGCGGTTCAAAAGTCCAAAAGATGGTTCTTCCTCGTCTACAGGATGCACCCTATCGATCTTAATTGGGAAGTAGTCGATTCTTTGGGTGATGAGGCGTTGATCTTAGACATGGGCATCACAGTTATAGCCAAAGACATTCCAGGGATCAAGAGCAACTCAATCTATTTCAGTGGTCTCGATTATGGCAGAAACAATCCAGACCATATATTTGTCTTCGATCTCAACACCCACAAGATTGAAACTTTGCCACTATGTGTTTTCTCCTCCATTCCTTTCTCCGATGCTAGATGGTTCTTCCCCGGTTTTAGCAGTTAGTCTTTATAGAGTTATTTGCTTCCAGTTTTGTTTTTTGTTTTGTTTCTCAAGTGTTTAGTGTAAGCCTTGTCATGAAGAAGCAGAGGAGATCTGATTTATTTATACTAGAAAACAAAACAGAGATTTAATAGTCTCTTTCAGTTGTGTATCTGATGTATTAGTAAACAATCTATTCCGATCACAATCCAAGGCCAAACTTAACCAACAACATTATATATCAAGCCTTTATAATTTAAACTAAAATCTGAAAGCCATAGAGAGTAACTAATTATAAAAACTGATCTCTTGGACTTTCAGAAATATTTGACATTACTTTACTAATGATCAAGAGAGCAACAAGATACAATCCATGTGTTTCTTTCGGTCCCCCCCAAAACCTGTCTATGTACATCAATAAATAAACTACAACTAAGAGCATCTCCATTGAAAGTATATCAATAGATTCATTACACTGAAAAGTATCTCAATAGATTCATTACAGCTCTAACCAACATTCGTTAGCGGTTTAAGATTCGAGCTTACTAATAACTACTAAACCACTCAACGCCTAACAACATGCAACTTCCTCATGTTGGATTTCGGCCAAGTACAGATGTATGTTAACCGGTTTAATTATTAACTCTTAAACCCAATAATCTAGTATTTTCCTTTTAATGATTATATGCTTCGTTTATTTTTTGCTTCCAGTTTTAAATCTTGATGGAATAATGCCAATGATATATTGTCATTGAGTTTAGTCTCGCAATTCTAGAAGGCGGTCAAGAATTCAGATTTAGCTCTTATTTTGAATTCTTGAATGACAAAAAATAAACAGAGCTAAATCAGAGACTCCTTTTGCGTGTTTAACAGTATCCATTACTACATATATGAAAGGGGGAAAAAATGGCTTGACACTCTTTATAATTCTGTATATCAGTATCAGTATCAGTACACAATCTATACCAACCACATGAGGGACAGGGACGACGAAACTCAAGGACCAGAATCTGACTATCTCTCTCTTTATATTAAATTTTTATTCTATCTAGATCAGAACTACATCAATAAACAATTAGCGGTTTAAGATTCGAGCTTCAACATGCAGTTCTTCCTTATGTTGGATTTAGTTATTATAAACTTATAACTGTATGAGAACCGGTTTAATTAGTTATTAACTCTTAAACCGAGCTTAATATACTAGAATTTTCCTCCCTTTTATGAGGTAAAAATCTCAATATTTTATGAGTCACATGAGACGAATATATGAATATATATATATATATATATATATATACAATATAAAATACATATGTTCACTAACATGAGTTTTGATGTATTTTTTGTATTTAATAATGCAAAATAAAAAACCATCTCATATATTAGGGTTCTTAACCAAACTAGGAGTGCTCTGGAAGTCATCGAAGGCTTCATTATAAACAAGATCGAAACTTATTTGGGGAGGTCTCTTCGTTGGATCAAACAAGTTGAGCAATTAAATGGGGCAGATCAGAAAGAGAGCTCATCGGCGGAGACGAGAAGAAGGAATTCCGGGGAGTGTAAACTGGTCGGAGCTTTGTCCGGATCTGCTGCGACGTGTTTTCGAACGATTGAGTTTCACAGTCTTAAATCGAGCAAAATCGGTTTGTTCTTCGTGGCACTCTGCTTCCAAAGGCTGCATCCCAAACCGGAATCAGATTCCATGGCTGATTATCTTCCCAAACAAGAGCAACAAGAGCAACACTGGCTCGTGTGTGTTGTTCGTTCCGGAGGACAAAGACAAGGTCTACAAAACCAGAGATCTAGGTGTTGAGTTTGCCAAGAGTCGTTGTCTGATGACTTGTGGTAGCTGGCTCTTGATGTCCTGTCCTAGGAGAGATGTCTACATGATCAATCCTTTAACTGGTGAGAGGATCGATCTACCAAATACTGGGAAACTTAGAGACAGCTTGAAATGGGAGAAAGCTTGCTTTTGGATAGACAACGAAACCAAAGATTACATAGTAATCTGGCGGATGGCTGGGTGTAGTATGTTTATCAAGAAAGGAGATGATAACAAGTGGCACGAGTTTCCTCTCTCGAGCTGGAGAGAAGACATGATCTTCAATCCCAAGAATCAAAAGCTCTACCTCTATCATCCTAATAACCATATCAACATTTGGGATTTCTCTGGAGATAAACCGCTCCAAGAAGATGGGTCGCATCTTGATTCTTTCTGCTTCAACCACTATGATTTTCCTAATTATATTGACGAAGAATCTGAAGAAGAACTCTATTGGGAAAAGTTACTTCACGACACCACACGCATTGCAGTCACAGTCTCTGGACAGGTTTTGATGGTTGCATCTATAATGTTTAGCTGCAAAACATGGCATTTCCGAGTCTACAAGAGAGACCTCGTTCAGAGCCGCTGGGTTAAACTGGATTCTTTGGGGAATCAAGCGTTGATCTACGACATGGGTATCACTGTTGTCGCCAAAGGCATCCCAGGGATCAAGAGAAACTCAATCTACTTCAGTGGCAGAGATGATCCTGATCAAATCTTTGTCTATCATCTCTCCACCCAAAAGATGCAAACTTTGCCACCTCATGTCTTCTCCTCCGTACACTTCTCTCATGCTCGATGGTTTTTGCCCTCCTAGCCTCCTCTACTTCCTTTTCATGATTTCTAAGCTTAGATTATTTGCTTCTTTTTATTTTTGCTTCCAGTTTTAAATCTTGATGGAATAATGTTATGTCAATGATAATATTATCATTGAGTTTAGTCTCGCAATTCTCTGCAAGCATATGACATTGACAGGTTTCAACGAAACCCAAATTGAGTCCGCAAGTCGTGAATGGAGAATGTTATGCCTATATGTTTGGGATAATCTGTATAGAGATAATTATTCTGAATTCTTGAATGACAAAAAGTAAAAGCAGAGGATTTCAGAAACAGAGCTAAATTAGAATCTCCTTTGTGTGTTTAATAGTATCTGAATCATTACTACATATATATGGAAGAAAGAAGAAAATATTGGTTCAACACTTTTTTTTTATAATTCTGTATCTATATATCAGTATCAGTAAACAATCTATACCAAGCACATGAGGGACGGAGACGAAACTCAAGGACCAGCAAATCTGACTATCTCTCTTACATGACTGAGCACACGCATTTGTTCATCTTGGGATCACCTTTAGGCTTCTTTTCTGTATTCAAACAAACATGTCTCTCTCTCTGTCAATTTCACAAGAGATTCTGCAGAGGCTTAACCTTTTGAGGAAATGTTTTTTTTTTACCTTTTTCAGTAACCGGAGGTTGGATGATGACGTGCATTGTGGTGACACCTACAAGACTAGAGACAGGGCTTCGGTAGTCTTTCACCGTCTTGTTGTTCTCCAACACTTTCCCTGCGCTTATCAATTTCACCTCTTTCACTGTCCTCGGTCCATTCTCCTTCTCTACCTCCAATCAAAGTATCAAACACAAACCATAACAAATGAGACAACTAGTTTAACTATAACTAGCACAAACAGTTGAGCACAGCAAAACATCACAGAGAGTTGTTAACCAAAACAGCAAGGAATCTTGTGCTTTCTCAGCGAATCACATAGAAAAGTCTCAGTTTTATCCAAATCTTGCAATGATACGAGAGACGAGTGAAAACAAATACATTTGCGAAACACATTCTATTCGAACATGATTTCTCATAAGCAAGTATTGACCAAAACCATTGTTCCGAGAACACTCAAGCCTTTACAATGTTAGAATCTGAAAAGCCAAAGTGTAGCAGGTAAGCATAAAAACTGACCTCTGGGCCATTTGGAGATAACAGTTTCCTTCAAGGCCGAGACAGTTGTAGCATCAGGGAATGCTTGAGGACCGATATCCGAACCATCAGTTAACCGAAACTGGATCTGTAGTTGATTATCAACTTCTGCCATCTGTTGCAACAACTAACCAACAAAGCTTTTCCTCAAATCCAAAGGAGAAAACACAAAAGACACCGAAAGCACTTGACAGTTTCTCTCTGTATCAAATCCCACAGGACTTTCTTTGCTCTTTATGTATTCTATCTGCAAAATGAGTCAAAAAGAAACATTTCTTCTTTAAATAAGTGATCGTCAAGACAAACGTGAAACCTGAAGATTAAGGCTTTAATCAATGATCTTTTAAGAGAGAACATGATTTCTAAATCAACCGCATGCAAAACAGCAATAAACAGAGGATTTTGACAGAATACAATTACGAGAATATCCTGTAAATAAATGTTAAAGAATCAAGAAATCAGCAAAACCAGAAAAATAAATTAAAGTCCTGAAAGAGAAGGAGGATCTGATAAATGAACAGAACTCGGAAAACTCCAAAAGGGGCATGCTTTTAATCAAGGAACCCAGATTTGAAACAGAGCCGGGAAAAAGGAAAACCCTAAAATTGGTGATTCTTACTTGGCTCTGTGACTGATCTGAGCCGATGAATGAAAAGGAAAGGGAAGAACACGCATCGGAGAGGAGAGAGAGTTGCGAATTGAGATCAAGAGATCTCCTGAGTGTTGAGAATCAATGGCGGTCAAAGTTTCCATTTTTCTCTGATATTCTTCCCATCTATGCGCCTAAGAAATTGCCCATATCTCTCTCTTCTCTCTTCTCTCTCTCTTCCTTCTATCAAAGCTTAAAAAAAACGAAGAGTCGATCCTAATTTTGTTTGTAAAATTCGACAATTTGATATATTGAATTCACAAGTCGAGAAATTTTGTTACTTTCTGTGTTCCAAGCAATTCTTAAAAATACTTGTTTTTTACCCTTTTTTATGTGCAACAATAGCTTAATTAGTTTTACTCATGTAAAATAACTTTTGCTTAGCAATTACAAGGGTTAATGACATGTATATCATTTTAAAACTAAGAAGATTGCCTTTCATAATGACATGTAATATCATTTTATATTTTAACATTTTTCATTAATGAACAAGAATACAATAAATCCATCAGCGTTTACAAATAATCAAAACTATTGGATTTAGCTACCCTTGCCAACATTTT